TTCCATAAACCAACTCAGCAGCACAACAACCGAGGTCTTGTTTGATGGTTGAGCGAATACCTAATAGTATCAAAGGGAGCTTGATATCCCATTTGTAATCTCCTCGTGCGGCCGTCAAAGAGGCTTTTAACTGTCTATGGAATCTTTCTATCATTCCATTAGCAGACGGATGATAAGCAGTGGTTCTAATTCTCTTTATACCGAAAGTATCTGTAAGTTGCTGAAATAGTTTGCTTTCGAATTGCGTTCCACGGTCGGTCGTAATTGTTGTAGGGACACCGAAGTTTGTAATCCAGTGTTTCACCAGCTTCTTCGCCACTGTTGATGCTGACGTGTCTTTTAACGGAACAGCTATGGGCCATCTCGTAAATCTATCTATACATGTTAGTATATGCGTGTAACCATTAGAAATCGGTAACGGCCCAACAATGTCGATATGAATATGGTCGAACCTAGCGCTAGCGGCGGGAAAAATTCCGGTAGGAGATATGATGTGCCTATGTACTTTTGACTTTTGGCATTGGACGCATTCCCGTGACCATTTTCTTACGTCTTTGTTTATTTTTGGCCATACAAATCTATCTGTGACAAGCTTTACAGTGGCTTTTATACCTGGATGAGATATATTGTGTAATTTCTCAAAAATATTTCGTCTCATACCGAAGGGTACAAAAGGGCGAGTTTTACCTGTTGAGGTATCACAAGCTAAGGTGTCCTTGTTGTTAATGGGGATGTTTTGGAATAATAATTTCGTTTCCTTAGACTGCAAAAGCTTTTGTAGCTCCGTATCGAGCTTTTGATGCTTTGCCATTTCTTGATAGTCTATATCAGGGATCGAGAAGGTATTGATATTTAATCTCGATAGTGCATCTGCTGCCTCATTTGCATTGCCTTTAATATAGCGTATATCAGCTGCAAATTGTGAAATGAATTCTAGTTGACGAATTTCGCGCGGACTGTATTTATCATGATTGTGCATCAAGGACTTAGTTAGAGGTTTGTGATCAGTATATATCGTGAAAGAATTGCCTTCTAACATATAGCGAAAGTGTTTGATGGCTAAGTAGATAGCTAACAGTTCTCTACCGAATGTGCTATATTTTGTTTGCGTTGCGTTGAGCTTTTTTGAGAAAAATGCAAGGGGTTGCCATTGTTCATTGACACGTTGCTGAAGTACAGCACCTACTGCTACGTTAGAAGCGTCGGTCATTATTGCTAAAGGTGCATCAACCTTTCGTCGTGCGAGTAATGCCTCTGTGCTTAAAGCGCTTTTCAACTGATCAAATGCTTGAATTGCTTGCGGTGTCATTGCTAATGATTTAGCTCGTCCCCTTAATAAATCAGTTAGTGGTTTTGCTAAGTCTGCACATTTAGGGATAAAACGTCTGTAAAAGTTGATCATCCCAAGGAAACGTCGTAGTTTCTTGAATGAATCAGGCAAAGGATAATTTTTGATAGCTTGTGTTTCCTCAGGAACTGGTTTAATGCCTTGCTTATCAAGTACGTGACCTAAAAAGGTGAGGGATTGTTTTCCGAACTCACATTTGTCAGGATTGACCGCTAACCCATACTCGTTTAGCTTCTCAAAAAGCATTTTCAAATGCGTTAGATGTTCATTTTCATCTTTGCTTGCTATAAGTAGGTCATCTATGTAAGCATACACAAACGGTAAGCCCCGTACCACTTGGTCGATAAAACGCTGGAAACTTTGTGCAGCATTCCTTAATCCGAAAGGCATGCGGACGAATTCGTATAGTCCAAAGGGGGTAGTAATGGCTGTTTTAGGAACATCGTCCGGATGAATTGGAATGTGATGGTAAGCACGGACGAGATCAATTTTTGAAAAGATCGACACGTCAGATAGGCTATGAGTGAAGTCATGCAGATGTGGGAGAGGATATCTATCTGGTACGGTCCGGCTGTTGAGAGCTCTATAGTCACCGCACGGTCTAACTTCGGAAGAGTTTTTCTTAGGTACCATATGAAGCGGTGATGCCCACGGACTATCGGAGGGGCGTATGATGCCCAACTCAATCATTTTGTTGAATTCGTTCTTTGCGATAGCCAGACGAGAGGGATCAAGGCGTCTTGGACGTGCGAACACTGGTGGACCCTCTGTCTTTATGTGGTGTACGACGGTATGCGTCGGTTTGTCGTGTTTGAAACTCGGTCGTAATAAATCTGGAAACTGATTAAGTAAATTGACGTATTTGTCGTTCTCATGATGAGGTTTAACTAATAAATGTATGGAAGTCTCATTTGATATAATTCCTCTAATTTCTTTACTTTGTTCGGCAAGGACAAGTTTCCTATTTCTGACGTCTACCAGTATTTTGTGGAATTGCAGAAAATCAATGCCGATTATAGGAACGAGGACGTCCGCTATGATGAAACTCCAGGAAAAATTAGATTTAGGACCGAAATTTAATTGCAACCGCCTTTTGCCGTACGTCTTGATGTCAGACCTGTTTGCAGCTTGTAATTTTAGTTTGGGGTCAGGTGTGTTTTTCTCGAGTGCAGTAGGTGGTACTACACTAACCTCTGCCCCAGTGTCGACTAAAAACTGTGTGCCGGTTCTTTTGTCTGTAACATATAATAGACGACTGTCTTGAAGTTTGTGGTCAGTGAGTGCAGTCGTCATTAACCTGCGGTCTTGACGTCCCTTTTTCTGTGTGCTTGCAAAGTTACAAGGCGGAATACATTTTCTAGCTTGTTTGCCATATGTTCTATGGTACCAGCAAATGTTGTGTCTAGTAGTGCTTGGACTACGTCGTCTACGGCTTGTGGATGTTCTTCTACGCTTGCTGTGGGAGGCATTCAATAATTGGATGTGAGCTATCTGTTTCGTAAGGATATCAACTGATCGTCGTAACTCGGCGATCTCGTCAGCTGAACTTGATTGGATTTGAGATACAAGGTGAGTCTTGGACCGTTCGTAAATTCTGTCGGCTATGTCTGCTAGCCTATCAAAATCAACGTCTTCGTCTCCAATTGCTAGTATCTGTTGAATGTTTTGAGGAAGACGTCTGAGCCACAATTGATATAGTAGACGTTTGTCTACTGTACGACTTCCTAATAAGTTTGTCATGTGGCGTTTTAACTGTGACGGTGTATTGTCACCTAGCTCGACGTTGGCTAAAAGTTGATCGATTGTCTGTTGGTCAGTGAGAGATGTGACACGAATGACCTCTCTTTTTAGACAATCGAATGGTGAGTCAGGATCCGGCTTAAAAATGACATCCGGCACTTGTTCAATGACGTCATCTGGCAGCAGTGAATTTGCATAACTAAATTTCGTACTCTGGTTTGTGATTTTGTTTGCTACAAAAAAGCTTTCTAAACGAGCGAACCAGAGTTCAGCCTTTCGTGAATTAAAAGTAGGTAAAGGTACAGAGATGGCACCCACGGAAATAGATTTAGATGAAAGGCTTAGCGAATTATCAAGTGCCATGATACGAAGAAGCAATAGTAATAATAAGCCGAGGATTGTAATATACAATATGAAGAGAAATCAAAAATAACAACAAGAAATATATATAAGACTCACCGAAAAGAAAAACTGTCACTTTTGGTTTAAATATGCGAATATACAGCAATAATTCCAAAGGAACAATGCTATGGATGGATTTATTATGACTGTTAATGAATTGTTAATAATTGTAATAGTAATTCCAATGTGAAGTTCTTTAAGATACGCTTGGAGAGTATGCAGCAGAATTCGTAGAGGAATGGTGTGTGTTCTAAAAGCGGTTCACCAATATGTTATGGATAATGTCCTCAATATCTGACTCCAAATAATAATATCCCGTAACTGAGTATTTTAGCTAGGCTTAATCTCCTAGTAGAATTGCGAATTTACTCGAGATTATTAAAAAGCCTGAACACCAGTTATAGAGATAGTTTATTGTTAATGAATAATAATAATCCACAAGCGCACGATGAGCAAGCACACGATGAAACAGAGAGAGTGAGTGAGTCTGTTAAAAATCCATATATATTTGAGAGTTAATCGGGTGTGGATAAATTATCGATTATCTGCACATTGCAACCAATAGGAAAATAGCTTAAGAGTTAATGTACAGACATGCATTCGATCATACACACCGAAATTAACATAGTGAATTGAGTCTGAGTTACAATAACTAGATAAATGATACAGTAGCCAAATGGGCTTGCCACATGATCATGAGTCAGTTGAAGCTAGACCACCATGAAAAATCTGGAAGCACTAGACAAACGTTTCGTTCTGTTGTGGGATTCCTCAGCGGTGCTCACCGACGACCTCGCCTCCTGCGAGATTCAAACCCATGACCTACTGGTTTCGCACGCGAGTACTAGGACATTAAGCCGGCAGGTTTTCCATAGTGATCTAGCTTCAACTGACTCATGATCTTAACCATTAAAATTACTATAATATCCACAAAACCCATCTGTTATTAATCAACATATGCTCACTAGTGGCTGACTTCAAGAGGTATATCCCGGAGTTCTTGTGAGAAGTAGTGACCAGTGGAGTTCAACCAGGTCTGTTGTAAGATAGTAACTCACTGAAGACAATGGTGAATGTGTCGCTCAATTTCGTGGATTAGCTAAAGTTAGACATTAACACCGTTGGATGCCGGCGCAGTGGTCTAGTGGTTAAGTGCTCGCGTGCGGAACCAGTAGGTCATGGGTTCGAATCCCGCAGGAGGCGAAGTCATGGGTGCGCACTACTGAGGAGTCCCACCATAGGACGAGACGGCTGTCCAGTGCTTCCAGGTTTTCCATGGTGGTCTAGCTTCAACTGACTCATGATCTTAACCATTGAAATTACTATAATATCCACAAAACCTATCTGGTATCAATTATTTATTTGTTGATGCTTTATTGTAAAGTATTTGTAGTAGCAAGATCTTATTTGACTAAACCGCTGTCATTGAGCTGTTATTAAATAACTTTTCAGTTTACTGTGAACATGTACTTGTCCTTACCACTAGCCTTGATATTTGTTTCTTTTACAGGACGACCCGTTCGCTGACTTTTCCAAAATTGAACCATCAGCTGATCAGGAGGCTGCACCAAGAGGTGTGTCAATATCAATTTCTGAGTATCATTTTTGTTGCCAACGCTTTTTTATATTATTATTGTAGGGCTATAAACGCAGAAACCGAATTTTCATCAGTTATTAACTTTCGTTATTGTTTTCCTTCTGTATTTGGAACTCGGAATAGGTGTATGATCTCAGCTCCAATAAAATACTCTAATCTTATAAGAATTTACTTCAGACAATTACAATAGCAAGTAATGGGTTGATATTTTGATCTAAATGTTTACTATCTAGTAATACTTCTCACCTCAACAACACCGAAACGCAAAACAACTTAAGAATTAAACTCAAGTATTAAGTGGCCTACTTCTAAAAGTGGATTTAAATCTATTCTTTAACTTACATAGTTTGGAAAAAAAGGAAACTTGAAAATTGCTTGGTTTGTTTAGTTGGTTTTCAAGAAGCTACTATCTGTGTTCTCTTGTCTCTGGCTTTGTTATGATATCTCACAACAACATAAATTTAAAAGTCAATACTTCTAGACTTTTCGGAATTCTGACAGTGTAGTAAATAGCACGCAGAAAATCTTTTGTAGTGATTATTTATCCCCAGCAATCGATGTAATGTACAAATTGCAGAGATTTCCAATCACAACTTGAAATTGCTCAGATTTATGTAGAATGGTTTTTAAAATGCATACATGGTGGGATACTTTATTGTAATTTATATTGATCATGTACTATGTAAAGAATACTAAGCAAATGTTGTCCTTGAGATTGACCAGACACAGCTTTATGCTGCATCGTTTAGTTTCGTCACCAGTACATACGTAACATTTTTATGTTAGTTCAAACCAATGAAGTCAAGGGTATCTGATTGACTCAAAATTAATGCACAACTTTGAAATATCTAACACAATTCTATGGTTTTAATTTTCCTGTTTAGTGAAGTTTTCGCCAAACATTTTTTCTTACACCACTAGTGTCTTCGAAGCATTGCTCGTATATCTCGGGACCACCGAGTAAGGCAGTTGTTAGGAAACAGGTAATAGGTAAGGATGGCAAATCAATTGATGAAGTAGTGAAACTTCATCAGTTGAGATGGCTGGCACATGTGTTACGTATGCCAAACCACCAACTGCCCCGACGAGCGATGCTTTATGGTGTAGGAGTAGGTTGGGAAAAAGCTAGGGGCGGCCAGACCAAAATGTGGCACAAATCCATGAAGTCACTGACAAGTGGACCGAGCCATGTTGGTAGGTGTAGACTACGTGGTTGAGATCCGCGAGACGATAGCAACCGATGGTTAGAGGCCTTAAATGACATGGCTCAAAACCGTTTGCAATGGCACAGGTGCATCCACTCTTTGTGTTCACCCGAATTCTAATCTTCTGAATTCTTCATGTCCCTTTTTTATTTTTCCAAGTTTATTTCACGGGATTATACTCCTTGAATAACATCTTCAAACCCTAATCTCTCTGACTAATGCTTGTACTCATATTACCTCTGCCGTTACGGAATCTGAATCGACAATTGTATCTGTGTGTTAATGTGGTATGGCAACTCGAACTGATGTACGTACGTACGAAGTTCTACGTTACTGAGTGAATAGCTGATGAGCCAACGATAGATTTCGTTAATTTATCATGAGTTTGTGATTTTAAATAATTTTATTAATTAGCAAAAAATGAATCTACATGTTTGTTATTTATTAATTCAATGAGTATAGTATTTGACTGACTTTATTTTAGTAAATAGTCTTTGACAATATCTTAATGAACATGTTGTTCTTATACACAATACAGCATTCACCTATTGAATAATGTATGCAAAAATTAATGTAGTTTGCTGCTAGTATTTGTGTTTTTAAATTAGTTGATTTAAAGTGAATTGTGTAAATAATGTTGCTTTTATCATAAATTGATAATAATTTGAAAAGTGTTGCACTTTCAGAGCAGTAATATTTATTTTATCCTCATTTTGAGACGCATTAGTTACTACCCTCCCTTGTTCTTGTGAGATCCAGCACACGGCCTTCAGGTTTGTTAGTTATTTCAAGGTTTCACTAAGATAAACATTAAACCAAAGGGCGCGCCAATTATAGTGGATTTATCAAACCAAAATGTTGTCTATCAAACGTGCAAGCTTTTAGAATCGGAAATGTCAGCAAATACTTAAGGTAAAGATTAGTTCTTATAGTTAATCTGTTTATACTCTAATCCCAAATCCGGATTTAGGATCCGACCTTATCCTTTCTTCGTTGAATTGAGGACATATTGCATTATAAATCATTCGTCCTTATATGTTGCTTCCTGACCAGCTGACAAATGTGAGAATTTCTCAGTCAATTCAAGTGCCTCTCTTTAGTGCTTACGCCCTATAGTAATGTATTTAACACTAAATCTGAATAACTACCTCTTCATCTCTAATTTCATCAGTGGTTTTCTAGTTGGTGTCAATTATAATAAGAAATATTTTCTAATTAACTGAATTCTCATACATAATTGGATTATATCTGTGTACAAATGACTTGTTTATAATCCTTCATCGTTTTTTTATCGAAATTAAACTTTGAAGAGATAATGAAGTGCTGAACTGTTGTGCTTGGTAGATAAAGAATCAAAAGCATTTAAATCTTTATGATTTGAAGTACTATGGGTTGATAAATGATGTATTATGTAAATATATCACATAATTCTAATGACTTTAGTCTTCTCATTGGATTATTTAGGTAAAATGTGTGATTACAGTTTTCCTCCACTTTAAGTTTTGGATTTCAGTCATATTGGTTAACATTTATGTACATAACAACAACTACCAGGGTTACATACACATTCATTTTTACGGTTGATCTACGCACAAATTCAGCTGATTACGACTGGCCACTGATGATCCTCTGAAGTCTAAAATCAGTAACTATTTTTAGATTAGGGGTTAATCCTGATTAACATTCCGTCACAGTCTTTATAATGTGGCTGGCTTGATCGAGCACTTTGTAGTTAAACTGTAATTTTATACTCAAAAACACCAGAGTATAGTGAATATACATACTACCATTAGTCGAATGATGATTGGATTGATTTAAGGATTCTGCATTCGAAGCAACACTTCCCGGTGTTATTCAGTTATCGATTTTTGTAGATATTCATGTAAATTTTCTTTTTTTTTAGCTCGAGTTGATGATACTCCACCATCGAGATTCAGCCGCGTACTTACATTATTTTCTTGGTTATTTGTATTTGGATTTATTAGTGGTGGTGGATATATGGGCTATAAATATTATAAGAAGCGTCAAAGGCAAATGAAGCGATTCTATTAGTGAACAAATTTAAACTGATTATCACTAATTCTTTAAACAAAGCAAACTATTTTCATTAAATGGCCAATGTATATTTGCGGGTATTAGAAACTGGAGTCGTGACTATATCCTTCGTTTTCCTGAATGTTCATCCACACATTTTTTAGAGATGATTTTTGTACTTGTTTATACTACTCCTGGTCAATTAAAAGTGTTAAATGAGTTAAATATTTTTACTAACCTTATCAGTATCACGTTAGTATTTTTGTGCATCAGTTTGATACTGACAGTAGTAGATCATAATTTGTTAAATGTTACAACGAATCGCAATATTAATTTTCGTCCTGTCCTTCTGTCTCCTTATTTTTTATGCCAAGAAAACTACGCAAAAATGTTTTCTGTTCTAAAACTTTTAGTTATTCATATTTTCCTTTGTCAATAATCGTCAAACAAATAAGATTTCTAATTTTTCTTCTGTGATGGTAAGAAGCCTTGCATGATTGTGAAAAATAAATATTATTATTGCTTTGATGGATGTAGATGTATAAAAGTGTTAAATTTGTATCAATTTACTTTCAGTGTGTCTTTTTTTCTTTCTAGTCACAAGTGGTTTTTGTTTCCTAGCATTGTTGGCTAATACATTTATGGTGGAGTTTCCCCCGAAAAACCCTCAGTGCAGACTACTTTTATTGCTTCCAAACATATGAAGAAAATGATAGTGTCTGTCCGATACCAAATATACCGATAATAACTTTAAAGGTTTATTGATGCCTCCTGAGTAATTATTGTTCTGATGTATGTTTAGAGTTAGTTGGTTTATTCAGATGTCATCACGATACTGATTGTTCCCGGCGTTCAATGCATTCTTATTTATGAAGCATGATCTTTTGAATACCAGGCTTGTGGAAGCACCATATATTTGTGCATTAACTCAGTAAGTTTTTCAGGACTTCTAAAATGTGCATGAATAGTTCGAAGAAATAATAAAAATGCTCATAAACATTAGGTCATTAACATTATACAAACATTTGACGTTTGGAAATTGTTGCAATGAAATCGGAACCAGTGACCAGTCGTACAACACACTAATTATTTGTTGTCGCCCTAAAACATGCTCATTAGTCCTACGGAGTCAAGAGAGATCAGATATACAGAGTTCAAAAGTTTCCCTGTAGTATCTAAATTCACTTCAGTATTTGACGCCGTTGGCAACAGCTGAGCAGTTTTGTATATCAACATAAATAAAAACTAAGGTGAACGACGTTCTAATCTAACTCTCATGGTTTTTGCCTAGATTGGAGATGACACTAAAATCAGCAAACCAACTTAATCAGTGCTAAAATGATTAATTGCTGAAATGTCCCGTATTTGATGGAATAATGATTACACAAATCAGTTAGAATTTGTCACTTAAATGTTTGAGTTTAGAACTGCATGCAAATCAATATAGTTTTTTGTTAAATGGTTAACAGTTGAATTGGGATGTTTACTAACCTAGAACTCTGACATGTGGTTGAATATACTAGATGTGAATTCCCAAATATTTTTGCGAGGTGTGGTTAACTTTAGTACTTTTGAAGAAATATTGTCTCACTGAAGTTCCAACTATCTGTGTTGCTGCAATATCAGTGCTGCCTGTAGCTCTTCTAGAGTTACTGCCGGTCCCAAGCCCGGGTAAAGGAGGAGGGTTGGGCATGGGGTTAGCGTCCCCATCCCTTAGAAAACTAACTCGCTAAAAAAACGCTTACCAGAAAAAATAATTTTAACTCGGCCCTGGGAGTTAGAAGGTCTTCAGTTAGAAGAATTATGACGCTTCATGGTGAAAGCCGAGTTCCTTCGGAAGCCACGAGGCCGATGCCCCTTCTGACAACCAGAGCAAACGTTTTTGTAGGTACATGGAACGTTCGAACAATAAGGGAGACCGGGAAGACCAGTCAAATAGCAACGGAAATGAGGAGATACAACTTGGCAGTACTGGGAATCAGCGAAACCCACTGGACCCAAGCTGGACAGACAAGGCTAGCTACGGGAGAGATGCTGCTATACTCCGGTCACGAAAAGGAAAATGCTCCACACACTCAGGGAGTCGCTCTAATGCAGTCCAAAGTAGCACGAAATGGGAATCTCACGGATTCAGAATCATCAAAGCATTATTCAAAACAAAGGAGGGGATCTTAATGAATATTATCTAATGTTGTGCACTCACCAATGACAGCAACGACGACATTAAAGATCAATTCTACGAGCGGCTGCAGTCAATCATAGAGAAATGCCGAAGAAAGGACCTAACTATTCTGATGGGAGATCTAAATGCCAAAGTCGGAATAGACAACACTGGATATGGAGATATTATGGGACGATATGGACTGGGAGAAAGAAACGAAAATGGAGAAAGATTTGCAAGTTTGTGTGCATTCAACAAATTAGTCATAGGAGGCACAATATTTCTACACAAGCGTATACACAAGGCTTCATGGACCTCATCGGACCACACTACAGAGAACCAAATCTATCATATTTGCATCAATAAAAAATTCCGAAGGACAATGGAAGATGTGAGAACCAGGAGAGGTGCTGACGTAGCTTCAGATCACCACCTAGTTGTAGCCAATTTAAAACTGAAGCTAAAAAAGAACTGGACAAGTGGACAAACAGCACTACAAAGGTTCAATACAGCCTTCCTTCGAGATACTGACAAACTCAATGAATTCAAGATAGCTCTCAACAACAGGTTTCAAGCCTTACAAGATCTACTGAATGAAGAAGAAACTACTATGGAGGACAACTGGAAAAATATCAAAGAAGCATTAACTTCAACGTGTCAAGAGGTTCTGGGCCTAAAGAAACACCATCATAAGGAATGGATCTCTATAGAAACACTGGACAAGATCAAAGAAAGGAAGAACAAGAAGGCAGCAATTAACAACAGCCGAACACGAGTAGAGAAAGTCCAAGCACAAGCTGAATACATAGAAGCAAACAAACAAGTGAAGAGGAGCATTAGAGCCGACAAGAAGAAATACGTGGAAGAACTAGCAACGACGGCAGAAAAAGCTGCTAGAGAAGGAAATATGAAACAGCTTCACAACGAAGAAACTATCAGGGAAATACAGTAAACCAGAGAGACCGGTCAAAGACAAAGAAGGCAAGCCAATCACCGAAATTCAACAACAGTGTAACAGATGGGTAGAATACTTCGAGGAACTCCTGAATAGGCCGGCTCCAATGAATCCACCGGACATCGAAGCAGCACACACAGATCTTCCTATAGATGTCAACCCACCAACGACGGAAGAAATTAGAATGGCCGTCAGACAAATCAAGAACGGGAAAGCAGCAGGACCCGACAACATACCAGCTGAAGCACTGAAATCAGACATCGAAGCAACCACAAGCATGCTATACCTTCTATTCAAAAAGATTTGGGAGGAGGAACAAGTGCCGATGGACTGGAAAGAAGGACACCTCGTCAAGATTCCAAAGAAAGGAGATCTGAGCAAATGTGAAAACTACAGAGGCATTACACTACTGTCAATACCAGGGAAAGTCTTCAACAGAGTGTTGCTGAACCGGATGAAGGATGCAGTAGACGCCCAACTTCGAGATCAACAAGCTGGATTCCGTAAGGATCGGTCGTGCACAGACCAAATTGCAACACTACGGATCATCGTCGAACAATCAGTTGAGTGGAACTCATCACTATACATCAACTTCATTGATTATGAAAAGGCATTCGACAGTGTAGATAGGAGGACATTATGGAAACTTCTTCGACACTACGGAGTTCCTGAGAAGATTGTCAACATTATCCGGAACTCATACGACGGACTACAGTGCAAAGTAGTGCATGGAGGACAGCTGACAGATGCATTCCAAGTAAGGACTGGAGTCAGACAAGGCTGTTTACTCTCCCTCTTCCTTTTTCTCCTGGTGGTCGACTGGATTATGAAGACCTCGACATCTGAAGGAAAACACGGAATACAATGGACAACTCAGAATCAATTAGACGATTTGGACTTCGCAGATGACCTAGCCCTCCTATCACGTACACACGAACAGATGCAGATGAAGACAGCCAGTGTAGCAGCAGTCTCTGCATCAGTAGGCCTCAGCATACACAAAGGGAAAACCAAGGTCCTCAAATTCAAAGTGAGGAACAGCAATCCAACCACTCTTGATGGCGAATTTCTGGAAGATGTAGAATCCTTCACATACCTGGAAGCATCATCGATGAACAAAGAGGCTCAGATGCAGACGTAAAGCCGAGGATCGGCAAAGCAAGGGTCGCATTCCTACAATTGAAGAACATATGGAACTCAAAACAACTTTCAACCAATATCAAAGTGAGAATCTTCAATACGAACGTCAAGGCAGTTCTACTGTATGGAGCTGAAACTTGGAGAACTACAACAACCACAATCAAGAAAGTACAAGTATTTATAAATAGCTGCCTACGCAAGATACTCAACATCCACTGGCCGGATACCATCAGCAATAGCCTTCTGTGGGAGAGAACAAACCAACTTCCAGCTGAAGAAGAAATTAGGAAAAGACGATGGAAATGGATAGGACATACATTACGCAAATCGTCAAACTGCATCACGAGGCAAGCCCTAACTTGGAATCATGAAGGGAAGTGGAAAAGAGGAAGGCCAAAGAACACATTGCGTCGGATAATAGAAGCAGATATGAAAAGGATGAATTACAACTGGACGGAGCTGGAAAGGATTGCCCAGGACAGGGTTGGATGGAGAATGCTGGTGAGTGGCCTATGCTCCTTGACGAGGAGTAACAGGCGTAAGTTAGTAAATTAAAGTTACATTCATTGTTCATGTATAATTTTACAACAATACCATGTGATGGGTTGAAGTGGTGTGTCAGAAGTAATCTTGCCATTGCTTGTTAATTAACAGTCGTATAGTTTATAATTATCAGTCGGACTGTCGCACTCTAAACATGGTTCTATGAATAATTAGGTCTTAACTGATGTTTCACAAATTAAACATCTGGCAAAACTGGGACCTTGTTGAGGATAAATATTTGATATGTGGCGTTAGATAGTGAGACGAACTCATAGCTCCATGCTGAAAAAAAAGAAATGAGTAACATTTGAAAAGTTTATCAATGACCAACACGTTTAATTATGAGATTAAAAAACTTGGTTATGTCAAACCAGTGACTCATTCATTTATATCTAATAAGTCGGCCACTACCTAAGATTCTTAAAATGTTTTTCAGAACAGAGAATTGGAATGAAAGAAATCGACTTTCCAATAGGAAGTGTGTAATAAAATATGATAAATACTTAAGAATATGTCTCGGCTTCGTGTGGCTTGCTGTCCATTATCATTTCTAATATAATGTAGTCAGTGCGCAGTTTAGCATCCATCCTTTTGTTTTAATGTTTAAGTTTTCGGGGCGTCATTTTATTGTTTCAATGTAAGATTTATTCAGTATGGTATTCCTTTCGTTTATTTCCCACGGACGCCGTTCACTTTTTATACTTCTCTTGTATGTGATATTTGTCTGCTAATCGTTACATGTGAAATCATTTTGATCATGTGTATTTTTGACTGAAATTCGTGGCGTATTTTAGAATCTCAAATCAGTTTTTGGTATCCAGTTTGCGTAGGGCAGATAAATGATTTCTTGTTCGAAGCAATCAGCTGTTAAAACTCCCAGTGTCTTTTAGGTTCAGTTGTTCCGTAGTCATTAGTTGCGAGTAAGAAAGCAAGATACATAGATTTTTTAACGAGAGTTTTACAAAGATAAAAGTACTGTGAAGAATAAATTTTTTATTGGTTGGTAACCTCAACATTTTTTATCAGGTCTTGACGTCATATTCTGAAGTATAAAAATTTGTTTTCGCTTGTAGTAGGACACCCAGCTAGACAACTTAAGGTTATAAAAGTGATCTCAATAAGTAGCTAGTATGAGAGTTTAGTGGCCCTAAACCTGACAACAACTAGATCATATGAATGATTGCTGTCGAAACATACATCCTGGCTATCTTCGAATAGAATTATAGACTTAACTCACGTTAGTGAACAAATGAATTAAATAAGTCATATACGAGAATGGATGTTTCAATAAGTATATTTTGTACACTCGTTTATCGAACAAAGAATCGCAGCGAAGAAGAGAG